TTTCTATACATCAAAGAATCCTGAAAATTGTGCATCACTTTCCACAAAAATATGAAGTTTTCAGCACTGATAATAAAATGTTTCTTGAGCAGCAAATCATCATATTAGAATGATTTCTGAAGGATCATGTGACACTGAAGACTGGAGGAATGGTGCTGAAAATTCGACGTAAATTACTTTTTAAAATATATTCCAAAATAGAAAACTTTTATTTTAAATTGTAGTAATATTTCATTAAATTATTATGTTTTACTGTTTTCTGATCAAATAAATGCAGCCTTGGTGAGCATTTATATAACCCCAAACTTTTGAACATGACTGTATAAACAAACTGAAAAGAAAATGTAAAGGATCATTTGGTGAGGTCAGCAAAATTTCTTAGGAGAACTTGGCTTGGCAGACCTTGACAAAATGTTCCTTTAATGTTCTTTTGTGAACATTAAGGTGCGTCAAATACCGAGATGAATGCCTAACTATGCCCGGTCTTGATTTCCTATTTGCAATTTGTAATATGTCATTAAATTCATGGTTCCACACAAACTACTCTTTCATTTTCAGATGAGCTAATCAAATAAAGTCATACAAAGGAGGAACAGGACTTCACATTCCAAAGGCCTTTGATCTTTTTGCAGTGAATCCATGAGATTACATGCCTGATTATATCCAGGTGTTGAGTCATAACTTCAGAGGTTCAGAGCATATGAAGTAATATTCGTCTTTAAGGCCTGCTAATTTTTTTTTTTTTCAAAGTCACAAGACAGGAATTCCTTCACTGAACTAACGTATACGTCCCACCTTACTTTCTGCATATCATTTTCAGAGGCGTTCGACTCTCTCACATGTAGTGTTTGTTTGTGTCCAGTCTGATGACATATTTCTTGCTCTTGTCTCATAGGAGAGGATATTTGTATTTCCAGTCATTTATCTGTATGGTTTATAAGACTTTGAAAACATGCATAAGGATTTTAAAGATACACACACACACACCTTCTGCTGCATACTTTTTCATGACTGAAATTAAAGAGCGGTGTTTAAATCGCCTACATTCTTTCTTTCCCTGACATTGCTTTCATCTTTTGTCAGATGGAGAGATATAGTCTGAAATGCACCTTGATTCTAATCTCCTTTCACAATGAAAGAGTGGTGGAGGCTTTTGTTTCTTCTCTAGTTTCTCATGTTTTTGAGTGCTAAACTCAGTCCAGGGATTTTGAGTTATGTTCATTTAGTTGAAATTTTAATAAGAAGTTCTTTTATTCCACCACAATTTATATTGCACACAATAGGTACACTGCAAAAAGTGATCAGTTCACTTTAAAAAAAAAAACTTTTGCTGATAATTTACTCACCCCCATGTCATCCAAGATATCCACGTCTTTCTTTCTTCAGTCGAAAAGAAATGTCCATTTAATCTTCATTGAATGGACTTCAATGGGAACCAAATGGTTCAAGGTCCAAAAGACAGTTTCAGTGCAAACTGTTCAAAGGACTTTAAACGATTCCAGACGATGAATAAGAGTCTTATCAACAAATCTTTTCCAGAGTCAACTCGTTCATTTCGTTCGTTGAATGAACCAAATGACACAAAAAAAAAGATTTGCTCATTTTGATGAATGATTTCAAACAGGAGAGTCACGAACGCGCATCAGAGAACAGAGCAAGGCAAGCATTTGATTTGAGCTTATAAAACTTTATTTTTTTTGTTTAATGACTGATCGTTTCGTTTGATAAGACCCTTATTCATCGTCTGGAATCGTTTAAAGTCCTTTGACCAGTGTGCAGTTTGCACTGAAACTGTCTTTTGGACCTCGAACTGTTTGGTTCCCATTGAAGTCCATTACATGGAGAAAAATCCTGGAATGTTTTTATCAAAAACCTTAATTTCTTTTCGACTGAAGAAAGAAAGACATGGACATCTTGGATGACATGGGGGTGAGTAAATTATCAGCAAAAGTTTTTTTTAAAAGTGAACTACTATAACTTAAAAAAGTGAGGAAACCAGTTGCCAGTAAATAAACCTCATGTTTTGTGAACTTGACAATTCCACGTAGCTTAAAGGGTTAGTTCACCCAAAAATGAAAATTCTGTCAGTATTTACTCACCCTCATGTTGTTCCAACCCCGTAAGACCTTCGTTCATCTTCGGAACACAAATTAAGATATTTAAGATATTAAGGTCGCTCCTGCATACAGTCCATAGGCTTCTTGAGGGACTGGCTCTTGCCGTCCCCGAAAAGTCATAAAAGACATCGTTAAAATAGTCCAAGTGACTACAGGGGCTCAATCTTAAGTTTATCAAACGACGAGAACACTTTTGTGCGCAAAAAACAACAAAAATAACGACTTTATTTCAACTATTCGTTTATTTCTCCCTCTGCGCGAGTCAGGTTACTAGTTTAATAGCGTAAGCTTCTGTTATTGTACGTCACACGCATCACACACATGACCAGCGTCGGCCAATAGTGAGCCTACGTGTGACGTAGCTCTACGCAATCACACTACGTTAACTGACTACAGGCCCATGGAGAAGGAAGTGAATAGTTGAAATAAAGTCGTTATTTTTGTTGTTTTTTTGCGCACAAAAGTGTTCTCGTCGTTTGATAAACTTAAGATTGAGCCCCTGTAGTCACTTGGACTATTTTAACGATGTCTTCAATTACTTTTCGAGGACAGCAAGAGCCAGTCCCTCAAGAAGCCTATGGACTAGTATGCAGGAGTGATCTTAATATCTTAAATATCTTAATTTGTGTTCCGAAGATGAACGAAGGTCTTACGGGGTTGGAACAACATGAGGGTGAGTAAATACTGACAGAATTTTCATTTTTGGGTGAACTAACCCTTTAACTTATTTTTTTCAATTGCACATAAAGTTTATTGGCTTCCTCACTTTTTTTAAGGTAAGTCAACTGATCACTTTTTACTGTAAATTCACTTACAAGGAAGGGCATTACGTGCACCCGGCAAACATCTGAAAAACTTTATTTGATAACAGCACCTTTGATCACAGCTGATTTTTTTTTTTTTTTTTTAGATAGCATGTCACGGAAGAGCTGTGAAATGTGTGTCAATTACACTGCGTAATTTATGCATAGGTTATAGTCCACTATGACTGTACTACTCGATCTTCTGATTAAGCCTATTAATAAAGACTAGCACATCAGCATAAAAAAATGTGTTTAAAAATGTATAAAAATAATAGTTGTGCACTCATTTAGTGTGGCCTTGGGCTTTATACTGACCAGTCAGTTTGGCTGCATGAAGTTTGTTTACTAACTACTGCCTCTTCACACTAAAGTCACACTGATTATCTTTTGTTGTGTACCTGTTTGTCTATTTTTCTCTGTCTGACACTATATATAATGCACATTCTTGCATTCAGTGTCAGTGTCAAGAATATGTTGCATGTTGTTGGTGGTTCAGCCACAACCCCCCCTCTCTCTCTCTCTACAGCGGCTGTGTGTTAGACGGAGGCATTTTGTGGTGTAGCAGCTGTGGCTGTTGTGTGTTTGTGTGCGGTGCTTGATCTCCTGCTGTTTATCCTTAGTCTGCATATGGAAGCTGCAGGTCATTGCGTATGTTTCATCACTACAGCAGGGAATGATTACTTGATATGCAAACGCTATTGACTCAGGCTCTAGTGTAATACTATGTCTGTAGTGCATACATATTCTAAAAAAGGTCCGTAAAAATGTATGTAGGACCCAATAGAGTTAGCCAGGGTAGACGCCATTTTGAATATGCAGATGAAAACGAGGCTGTGAGGGATGGAATGGCAAATGCTCTATAAAGTATAGCAATTTTCAAAATTCACAAACTTTCAAAACTATTTTATGTAGTTTTGTCTACAGAAAATTATTTGGAAAGATGTTTCATTGGCTGAACAATCGGTATGTTGTTAAACAACACATTTAAATCAATCACAGCATCAAATTCAGCTCTGTCAAAATTATATAAATAGGATTGAGGTACTGTGTTAATGTGAAGGAATTTTCCATATTTCCACATTTTGAACTAAGGATGAATTGGATTGTGTTTTAGGGTTTAAGGAATTGCCTGTTGTCCTTAGAACAAGTTTATTTTTATATTATTTGGTATGCTATTTGTTTTAGATCAGTACTTATTGTAAATGGAAAGTAAACAATATTAGTACAAGTAAATGGTCAAACGATTGACACGGCTGGTCATGTGATGTCAACATGGCGGCGTCCATGAGGGGGCGACCTGCTCGTTGTAGAGTAAACGGCTTTTTCTAGAAGACTGCTGTCTTATCTCATCATGTGTACATCGTTTAAACTATATGTCTCAAAGTGCGGTTCACCTGAAACCGTTAAATTGGCAAACATTCACGAGAGCATCTTTAAAGTGTAATCGACGTGGATTGAATGCGCTCTCTTCACACTCCAGAGTTTCCTCGCCTTGGTCTTTTTTTCTTCTTCTTCTCCAGGCGGCAGTGTGATTTCTGGCCGTGCGCGGCGCTCACATCTCCTGCTCCTCTCTCACTCACTCACTCGCTCTCTCACTCGCACACGGGCACAGGAGTGTGAGAGACAGCCATGGAGAGGTGGAGAAGCGACTGTTTTCTTTGTTATTTTTAAACTCTGAGATCCGCATCGATGACACGATTCACATCTCGCCGCATACAACGCTATTCCCGATGCGCTCGGAAACGGAAAGTAGATTCTCACAGGTACAGTACGGAGCACTTTTTTCCTCCTCCTGGCTTGGGTGTAATGGGGGTTTGCGGTAGCGGAGGGAGGGAGAGAGAGAGAGAGAGTGTTGTATATATATGTGTGTGTGAGAGAGAGAGATGAAACGCACCGTCGCTTTTTTCGCTGCTCGCGTTCGAATCCTCTGCGAGCCGTTAATAAAGCTCTCGCGCTCGGTTTATCGGCGCGTGTTGGAGTGCGAAAATCAGTGTTGCAAAGTTGCACACTAGTCCCTGGGCTGCGGAAGGGCCTGGCTGTGTGTGTGTGTGTGTATGGAGTTTGTTTCTTACTTTCCCCTCCCCCATCCGCTCCTGCTGCTGCTGAGGCCGAGACATGAATGCGATGAATGTGGGGCTCACTTCAAAGCAGATCGCGAGGGCAGCGAAAGGGGTGTTGTAATGTCGTCAGCGAAGGAAAAACGCAGCGCGAGCGAACGCTATCCCTTTTTAGATGGCCGTTTCCCCCCCGTGCATAAGTGGGATAATCGTATATATTGACGTTTTTAGTGATTAAAGATGGCTAGCGGTGACAACGTGTTCTCACACTAGTTGAGTCTGAACCGTTGAGTGGATCAGCAGAACAAGCTCACTAGAAATGTCGGCTCGTGCACTCAAAGATGGTGAAAGTGTTTTTTACCGTCTATGCTCACTTGTTCGGGAAGGTCTCGCGCCGCACGTACTTCCTATCCTCGCGCGTTACGTTCTTTGATGCGGTGGATGTTCGCCGTATTTATGTTTTTAAGTACTCATAGCTTGTTTTGATGCTAGCTAGTTAGTAGCCTCTTTCATTTTACACCCGGCGGTGTTTACCGGGGCTTTGTTTTCAAATAACAGCGTTTGTGTGCGTAAAATGTTTATAAATTCGCGTCTTGTGCTGGATTAGCCTGCTAGCTCATCGCCATTAAAGTTCGCGCTGTTAAAGTTATTGACTAGGGAAGCTCAAGGTTTCTCTCCTCCTTAGCTGGCTTCATCAAGCACATCAGACGAAATGTAGCTGGCAGGCAGTCACAGGTTTTAAGGTCGGAACTTGAAAGTGTTGGATTTATGGTTGGTGTCATAAATCGTGTCACAGGTGAGTTCAGGACTGTGCCATGATGGCTGCCCTTTTGCACTTTCTTTGCTTTAAGATAGATGCCCGAAGCCACGACAAGTTTGCTAGAGGTTGTAGAGCACTGCTGGGTTTAATTAAACTTAGTACAGGTTTTAAATTGGCTAAAAGCTGTACTGTTAGTTAACTTAGAGCCACTATTACTGTGCTATTGACTTGCATCTCTAAAGTTCATGTCTTCTATGGTAACGCTTTATTTTAACGTTACATGCTCCACTAAAGTAATAACAGTAAACTATGCATTATATGATTATAAGTACACTATGTTAAGTAATATTACCAGTATCTATTTGACTATTTACACTGTACCAAGGGCACTTTAAAAATAGTCTAACCACCTTTAACTTAAACACTTTAGCTTAAAAAAATAAGTAACCTGGTTGCCTTAAGATTTTAAGTTCATTGAAAGGGAAAATTGAGTTAATACAATGAAGGAGATTAATTTAATCACTAAAAACTCAAAATATTTGGTTATCTGAACTATATAAATTATCTAAGTTGATTTGACAAAAAGAAATCAATTTTTTTACAGTGTTGTTTACTTTCTTCATCTTAATGCTATATGCAATGCACAGAATTAGCTTTTCATAAGCTTAATTATGATGCAAAAATGGTAATTTTACTCGATACATCTGCAACATTTGGTCATAGTGTTATACATGAAGAGTTCAGATGCAAAAGCCTCCAAGTGCCATTTGAAATTTTCTTCTAGAATGATGATTTTTATCAAACTTGTATATTTAAGTTCAGTAATTTCACTTAAGTGGCAATGCTAATTACCTATTAATTGTTATTTAAGTGAAATTACTGAACTTAAATATACAAGTTTGATAAAAATCATCATTAAAGAAGAAAATTTCAAATGGCATTTAGAGGCTTTTGCATCTGAACTCTTCACATCTTTATATTGTCATATAAAATCCACAAAAAACACACTGTGATACGAGTCAATTGTACACTGTAAACATCACTGTAATCACAACATTTTTTCTTTTGTCAAATCAACTTGAATAATTTAGTTCAAATAACATAATATTTTGAGTTTCTGATGCTTAAATCATTCTCCTTCATTGTATAAACTCACTTTTTCCAGTTCAATCAACTTAAAATTTTAAGGCAACCAGGTTAGTTCATTTTTTTAAGTTAAACCAACAATATTTACAGTGTAGTTATTGATGACACTGTGCTCTCCTTAAAGTTGTTGATATAAAGTGCCCAAATTCAAGTTGAAGTTATGTCAATTATGCCATTCTTGACATTAGCAGCACTATTTTACACAGGGTTTTACACTGTATTCTCCATCAAGTATTATTACTTTGCTGAACTGACCATGTCGAGCCTCATTGAATGTTTTTCCATGCCTCTCTCTCTCTCTTTACTTCTCTTATAGGAGGAATTCTTTTACAGTGGCATTAATAGAAGTCTGGATATAAACTTTCTGCCTTGCGGGCTGTACTGGGACAGGGTGCAGGGACACTATGAGCATGAGCGTAAACGAGAACTCGTGTTATCTAGCAGACCCGGGCAGCAGCTTCACTGAGGATGCCCCCAGACCCCCGGTCCCCGGGGAGGAGGGCGATCTGGTGTCCGGCGATGGACGGCCACAGTACAGCCACAGTTTTTACTCGTCCAAGAGCGAGAGCCTCAAGAACGAGGCCCCCATAGCTACGCCCAGAAGACCCGACCTGGATCTGGGCTACGAGCCAGAGGGTAGCGCTTCCCCGACGCCGCCCTACCTGAAGTGGGCCGAGTCCTTGCACTCGCTCTTGGACGACCAAGACGGCATCCACCTGTTCAGGACTTTCCTCAAGCAGGAGGAGTGCGCCGACATGCTGGACTTCTGGTTCGCCTGCAGCGGCTTCCGCAAGCAGGAGAACAACGAGGGCAACGAGAAGATGCTGAAGCTCGCGAAAGCCATTTACAAAAAGTACATCCTGGACAACAACGGGATCGTGTCGAGGCAGATCAAACCGGCCACCAAGAGCTTCATCAAAGACTGCGTGATGAAGCTTCACATCGATCCCGCCATGTTCGACCAGGCTCAGACCGAAATCCAGACCATGATGGAGGAAAACACCTACCCTTTGTTTTTGAAGTCCGACATATACTTGGAATACACCAGGACGGGCGGGGAGAGCCCCAAGCTGTTCAGTGACCAGAGCTCGGCGTCAGGGAATGGCAAAATCCTGCCGGGCTACTTGCCGACTGTGAAAGAAGACGAGGAATGGAGGTGCGACCAGGAGCAGGAGCAGAACTCCGAAAGCGACCCCACTCCCAGCAACAGGCTGACCCAGAAGCTGCTCATGGAAACCGTGCCTCAGCGGGTGGCCAACAGTAAAAGATATCAGGACAACCGTGAGTACAGGTAAATCCCTGCAGCTTTGAAAAGCGCTGTCTCTCTTTTCCCATCCCATCCCCCCCCACCTCGCGGTGCAATCGCAGTCAGAAGAAAAAGATAAAAAGGGAATCTGAGTTAAGCACAGCCTTCCACAGGAGATGAGAGGAATGCAGTATAGGCAGAAACCTCTAAGTAGCTGCGACTGAGGTAGCAAGACAGATACTGGGTCGCAGCGTTGTCTTTGCCTACTGCGAGTTGGTGCAAGTGGGTGCTCTTTGTGTTCTCCATGCAGGTGTCTCTTGAATGGCAGGCTTTGGAGTGGAATAAAGGTTTCTTCAGGAGAACCACAACATGGATTCTCTTTAGAATGTGCACAAAGGAAGAAACTGCATTGAATATTTTGCAAGAAAGAAAGAATGTGCACTTCCAAAAAGTTTTGAGGTATAGATTTAACAGAGGCATTCAGGGGCGAGTTATGTATCTGATCCAATGCCCTTTGAAGTCCATGGCTGCGTATGGATTTGTTGTGTTTCTGAATGCTTAGATCGCTATCTCTCATACCCCCCATAGTTTGCTCGGCGAACAAGCGTATTGGAATGTATGCTTCAGGTATTGTGTTTTGCAATGCAATTTTTCTTTTTTTTGTGCTCAGACATTCCCGAGGCATTCCTCACCACCGGTTTTGACGGCCCATTGTGCTCTTTTATCTTTCTCGTTCATATCGCGCATCGCACCGACATCGTTTAATCTGGAGGACGTGGTGAAAGTGCCTTTTTTTTAAGCCGTGCTGCTGTGAAATTTACAGCAAATCACTTGATGCATCAGAGCCTCGAGTCCCTCCATATGAGCAAAATGGGATTTAGAGATGTGACTGCTAAATACTTTAATCCTTGTCCTTCTGGAATAGAAAGCGGTGCATGTGGGCCTTTGAACAGCCTCTGCTGAAGATTACAAAGCTTTCCCGCCCTAGATTTAAAAGCAAATATCGACAGGTGCTTTCACAATGAGATATCAAAGCAACAAGGTTTCTCCAGGTATGGGTCGGTTTTAGGCTTTTACCGTGGTAAAAAAATTTTTTGTATATATATAATCAAGCTACAGCAGGTTTTTGTGCAGTCAAGCAATTGCATAATTGAATGTTTGATGGATGCTATGCATGTTGTCATATGACCTCTATCTTCAAGAGCATGCACAAAATGCCAAATGTAGGACAATTTGAATGCATGTTGGACAGAGCTGAGCTAAAATAGCATAACATCTTTCATTTGCCCAACCTCATGTCATTCTAAACCTTTGTGACTTTCTACTCTGGAACAAAAAAGAAGAGATTTTGAGAAATGTCCCTTCAATTGTTACCAAAACCTCAGAATATCTTATTTTTTTTGTTTCCGCAGACGAAATTCATACAGGTTGTTTTTTTTCGAAATGAGGGTAAATGATGACACAATTTTCATTTTTGGGCGAACGATCCCTTTAAAAATGCTGTGTTGATGCGATTTCAGCCAGACTGCAGTGCTTGCATGACATTTTAAAAAGACCTATTTAAGACCTATTTTGTCCAACTATTTAAAGGCCACATTTTTTTTTCATTTATGAGGATTTATGAGGATTAAGAATAAGAATTTTTGCATCTTTTTTTTGTCTTTCTATCTGATAAAATATTTTGTAGCTTTGCATAACTAGAAAACTGTGTGTCCAGTTATAAAAATGCCTATGGATGACTTATACAAGTCTATAAATCATACTTTGTGCGTCACATTTTTATAACGCATTCACAATTAGGCTACCTCATTTAGGTTTTTCAAGAAAGAAGGAAGGAAACAAAAACTTTTCTTTATTTTTGGTCGTTTTTGTCTCCTTTTAAATGAGCTTTAAATCAGTAGTTCAATTTAAAAAAAAAAAAAAAACTATTGCTGATAATTTACTCACCCCCATGTCATCTAAGATATCCACGTCTTTATTTCTTCAGTTCGAAAAGAAATTAAGGTTTTTGATGAACATTCCAGAATTTTTCTCCATATAATGGACTTCAATGGGAACCAAACGGTTCAAGGTCCAAAAGACAGTTTCAGTGCAAACTGCAAACTGTTCAAAGGGCTTTAAACGACACCAGACAATGAATAAGGGTCTTATCTAGCGTAAAGATCGGTCATTTAAAAAATAAATAAAAAAGTTTAAGTTTTATAAGCTCAAATGGTCGCCTTGCTCTGTTCTGTGATGAGCGTTCGTGACTCCTGTTCGAACTCGTTCATCAAAATGAAAGAATCTTTTTTCGAGTCATAACTCGAAGGATCCTAGACAAGATCCTTATTCATCGTCTGGTGTCGTTTAAAGCCCTTTGAGCTGTTTGCAGTTTGCACTGAAACTCTCATTTGGACCTTGAAACGTTTGGTTCCCATTGAAGTCCGTTATATGGAGAAAAAATCAAAAACCTTAATTTCTTTTCGACTGAAGAAAGAAAGACGTGGACATCTTGGATGACATGGGGGTGAGTAAATTATCAGCAAAAGTTTTTTTTTTTTTTTTTTTCTACTTTAAGGCCTCTTTAGGCCCTTTTGGAAGTTTGCTGAGGACCCCAGTGGGCCCCTGGTTGAGAGCCACTGATATAAATGCATTTACTGTAATGCATTTATAAAACGGACCGTAAGATACAGTAAAATAGCAAAATGAGACACCAACTCATCAATAGATAGTATTAATCATAACAGTCAGAATAAATAGTTATACTGTTGTCTTTTTGCAGACGTGATACAACTGAGTAACTTGCCACATTAATTTCAAAAGTGGCGTTTCATCAGGAACCGAACCATCTTTTATTTATTTATTTCGCACACCATGTTTTCCCCCCTCTCGGAGCTAAAGCTTAAATTCTAAGCAGGCATGGAGGAGCAGGAGGAGGATTTACACAGCTTGATTTAGCCTCTGTAAAATGCTCAAGCATACATTGTGCTCTGATGTGCTCAACTGCACTGTGTTCACTGCTGGCACTCCTCCCGCAAAGAGATTGAAAATTGCGGAAATCTACCCCTAGACGTTGACCCAGTTTTCTCTCAACTGTTTGAGACAAACCTTGACATCTGTTGATGGTGCAGTAACCCTGTTCTGTCCAAAACCTCAGAGCTTTAGATGTTCAGGTGAGGTATAAAGATGAGAAACATCCCCAGGAGTGTTCTGAAAGGAAACGCGCCTCTCTTTGAGATTGTTTCTGCGGCATCTTCTTCCTCTCCTCCTTTTGACTCGCATCTTCTCCCGACAGTTTATGTTTAGCATTCGGAGGGCTTTGTGTAGCATTTTAATTTTTGGATGTCGTTAAAGGGTACAAACATGACAAAACGAAAGACTCCGACAGATTGATATTGTTAAACTGCAGAAACTCCCTCCACACTCCACCCAGCTCTACGTATGTTCCATTGCCCCTGGACCTGATGTGTTTTTAATTAGCGGGAGCAATGCATTTGTGAGGCTGTGTTCAAATGATTTTTTCATTAGGCCTACATGAAGTATTTGGCTTGAAGTACAGAAAGACATCACGTTTATTTTTAAATAGCCTTTTAGGTAAATGCTTTAGGGTTTCATGCATGTAAATTTTGCAGGAGTCGTATGTCTTTCATTTGCTGGCAAAAACTAGGAAGTGAGGGGGTTCAGAAGTTTCTTTAGTAATAAGTTTGGAAATAAGGCCACAGTGATTGTCTTTAACGCTAGAAATAATTCCTCGGCTATAAGATCAAAATAGAAATATAAATCTGGACATCTTAAGAGGAATTTGGTCCAGCAGGACTTCTGATGTCTTGCACTCGCGTAGGAATACTTGATTTACTATATTGAACGAGCAATAAATCCATAAAACAAGTTACTTCACATCAACAGCTTTATCAAGGTTTCATTGCATTTCATAGCCAAACTTGAATAAAATAGGGATTTACCAGCATATTAAAGGGTTGGTTCACCCCAAAATGAAAATTATCCAATTATTTGCTCACCCTCAAGCCATCCTAGGTGTAACATGACTTTCTTTGTTCAGCCAAATATGATCAGAGATATATTAAAAAAAATATCCTGGCTCTACCAAGCTTTGTAATGGGAGTGAATGGTACCTGAGATTTTGAAGCCCAAAAAAGTGCATTCATCCAATCCATACCATTACAGGGGGTTAATAAAGGCATTCTGAAGTGAAACAATGTGTATACGTATTTATACATTTATAAACTTTAATCACTGTGAAGAGTGAATTCTGAGCCAACGAATGTTGCATGCAGAAGCACAAATTAGAAGTCAAAACAAGAATTTCGACAAGAACAATCGGAGGTTTTCGATATAAAAGAAGAGGAGCTTGTTGGCCAACCCTATTTGATTGAACCATGAGAGGCGTCTACTCTCACTTAAGCTTTGTGCTACTCGACTGGTATACGGCCGTTACCGGAAGACAGTGATTTATAGTTTATCAAAGTTATAAATAAGGATAATTTTCTGACAAAAACACATGGCTTCGCTTCAGAAGGCCTTTTTTAACCCTCTGAAGCCTCATCGATTACTTTTATGATGGATTAATGCACTTTTTTGGGGCTTCTCAATCTCAATCCCCATTCACTCCCATTATAAAGCTTGGAAGTAATAATACTACTACTTAATAATAACAATTTAAATATATTTTGATCTCTGAACACTTTAGTTTTTAAATTCTGTGAAAGTCACATCTGTGTGACTTTTGATACCAAAACATGGTATTTTTTGAAGGTGCTGTAGGCTATTTTATTATACATTTTTTTTTACTGTACTAAAGCATAAAAACACTGTTTCCCAGATCTTTGCAAGAAACACTTTCAAATTCTTGTTTATCTGAAAAACAATGTTACAACTTTTAAGCCAATTATTCTATTTAGAAATTCCATTCTTTTTATAATGTTTGCTTTTGTTATGATCTGTTACCCCTTTTCCACCAAAGCATTTTGAGAGCCGGTGTCTGCGTGTTCTTTGTGTTTCGACAGCCAAAGAGCCGGTTCTCGGCCAGGAAAACTGGTTCCAAAGCG